ATCACAGTAATGAACAAAACTGATAGTTGCAGTAACTTATAGAACCGCAGTTCAGTGAAACTAAATTTGCTCTTTTTTTTTTTCTACCGATTTTTCATTCACTAAAAATTATTAAACTTGATCAGTGGTAATCAAGCGAAATGGAATTGTATAAAGAACAGTAGAAATTTTTTCTTACACAATGACCATTTAAGCACAATTTTTTAAAACATACATTTCACAGATAACAGCGGTCTACCGACACTTCAGAAATATTTAATTTGTAGGAATTATGAAGTTTGTATAATTCATTGCCCAAACTGTACTCACTTTCTTTTTTTTTTTTTTTGTAAAGAATAACTAATTATCACTGATAACTTAACAAGTTTTATTTTCAGAAAAAAGTTTAAATCTATGCTGTAAACCGTTGCAGGAATTTTTGATGAATGTTCGTTTGAAAAATCATTCAGCGTTTTACCGCATAATCTTCTTCAACTTCCTCCTTTCCTGTTTTGCCCTTTTCACGTTAGCAAAACCACTACTGCTTTTCTTGTCTTCCCCACGTTCATTGCCAAAGACGTCATTTTCGTCATCGTCACCATCACTAATTCAGCTTTTTTTCGTTCATCTCTGACTAAAAATTACCATAATTTTGAACCAGTAAAAACTTTTCTGGCACTAACAAATTTAAAAAAAGGTCTTACTAAAATTATTAAAATTTTTACTGGAAAAAAAAACAGTTTTGACTTTGCAATGAGAATCTGCTTTTTTTGCTATCTATCCATTTATCGTTTCCTTTAGCACAAAAGTTCCACAGTGCGGAAATTAGGAGTAAGAAGAATTGTTTTCATCTGTACTTGGTTCTTAATAGTACAGTGGTCTGTTGGATCTAATAAAATGGTTGAGAAAAGAATAGAGGAAGGGAAGGGGAAAGGGGAGAGGGAAAAAAAATGAAAAGATGAAGGTCATAATGGAGAAACTGATTTCAGCAAAGAAAACCAAAAAAAGTGGAAGGCATTTAAGAAAGGCAAGGTCACTCAAAAGATTGCACGTCTTCAATTATTCACTTGATTTGTATTATTTTTGTGGGAATAAATGTTGTTTTTTTTTTAAATTATGGTTTCTTTCTTTCTTTTTGTACAGGTTAAAAAAGTAGCATTTTTTTTTGCCTTATTTTACGCAAAATCGTAGAATTCCTGTTATTTCGGGTGTTAACAACAAATATTTTTTCCAGTAACGCTGACCAACAAAATTCCTGTTTGTTCAGAAAACCATCACCCACCTAAGCTTTCTACCAAACGTCAAATCTTATAACTGCTAAATTTTTTGATGTTACTAAACAATGATTGAAGGTAATATGCAGAGGGAAAAAACAACAGTCCATGTAATTCATTACAATCTGCTTTATTAACAAAGAAAAGAATTATATATTGAAGATGCACATAAGCTTTAGATGTTCTTTATATCAAAGTAAATAGGAAAAATTATGATCAAAATCAATCTGGACATTAAATATTGAAGTAGCAGTATTTATTTCGGTGGTGAATAGTAGTGCGAATATGAAGAATTTTTGAGTCTTTTGAATTCAACAAGGACTTTATATATTAATATTTGCGTGAAAAATATTTCATAAGATTCTTTTAAAATCAATTGAGCAGCAAAAAAATAACCATCTTTTGCCACGACGGTAGACAGTATCTAATTTTAACAGTCAAATATTTCTAAATGTACACGATTTTTTGCCAAAAATTATTTGAAAAAAAAAATCAAAACTAAATCTTTATTAAACAAAAAAACGTTTAACAGATTTAATCATCCAAAACGATAAAGTGAAGAAAAATTACTTCTGATTTCTTCCCGTTAATCTCTTCTATTCGTAAGCAAAAAATTCTGTTCATTAACCGGCCAAATAATTTTTGTAATAGTATCAGTAAATCTGGAAGAAACATTGCTTAACAATGAGAGCCCTGTTTTCATCATCTTTTTTATTCATTAGTATATCAACTGTTGTTTAAGACCTTTCATAGTAAAACTACTTCTAAATTTGAAAATTTTTTTGATTAAAAAATATAAAATCAAAGGTCTGTATATCATTTACATAAAAATAAGTTTGTAATAACTAAGCGCAATGATAGCAATTTTTCATCTCTTTATTACAGTAACGCCAACCTTTTTTCAGCAATTTTTTTCCCTTCCCTATTGAACATCAGATATTTTTTTAAATATAATCAGATATAGGTGCTGCCACACAACAGCGACCAACGGCTTATCGCCTCAAACACTTTACTGTTATCGCTTCAAAACATGTTTCCAACCACCACAATATACCACTGCCGTCTGTTTGAAAACTTAATCTCAGGTTTATTAGTTCAAAAATTTCAAGGTTAAATGCATTAGCAATTTTTGATGTTATTCTTTTAAAGTGGTAAAATAACAGTCAAAAAATTTAATCAGTATTTGAAGAAATTGACGAGGAAGAAAAATAGCAAATAATACTAAAGGTTGAGAATTGCGGCATAATTAATTTTAACTGTAAATACCCAAAAAAACTTCTTGTCAGTAGTTAAGCGACTGCTCTACAGCCAAAAAAAAAAATCTGTAGTTTCTGGTTGTCAAACCTCTAGAAAAAAAAAAAAAAAACACAGAAAAAGTGAAACAAAATTTAATAACTTTTCATTTAAAGTAGCCACTGTAACATAAAAAATTTTTATTCTTTTTATTTGAAAGTTATTGATTCTTAAGAAAAGTGGGCCAGTGATTAAATAAACAAATAAATAAACAAATCAAATTAATTAATCAATCAATTAATTAATTAGCTGATCATGCGATTAGTAAATGAATTGTCAAATAATTACGTAAAAAATAATTCCAAAGAAGAAAACATTGGTGTAGCTTCTCAGTCCAATTCGGCAACTGAACTTTTTGCAAGAGTTAATTGTCACTTAGGACGACTATAGACAACTATATTTGGCGATTATACTCAAATGATTACATTATACACTCAAATAATAGCGATGAAAAAAATAAAGCCAAAAAATTTCATAGTTGTTTATTAGAATGATTTTTTTCCGAAAATATTTTAGCGCTGTTAGACTTTGATGATCACTCAAAACGATAGCTTTTTTAAGAACTAAAAATTGGGAAGCTGCCAAGAGTTGTAAACAGCTATAGACAAAAATGTAATAATAAAAATTTTCTTGAGTTTGCTAGCCGGTATGGTATTTCGTTGACTTTTGTAGCAGATTCGGTCTACTCGATTCCGCTTTCCGTATTAAAATAGGTCATGAGAGTCATAAGTGTTCCTAAATTATGAAGCTCGTTTTTTAGTTTTTTGTTTCGAATCTTCTAATTTACACAGGTGATGTCTTGAGGTTTCGGATATCAACGTACTTTAGACAGAATTAGTTTTCATCTCGTCATGCTGCTGTACGCCAATGACAGTTCTTTTTAGTGCCGTTACTGTCTGAAAACTGGCAGAAGTAAATGCTCAAAAACGAGAGAAATGCTTAAGCGTTTTATTGGCAATGTGTTGTTTTTTGTGAGCTTCCGTTTTTACGTCGCTACGAGCTATATATGATTGTTGACGTCGTTTTCTTTTTTTTTTTTGACGTTGTGAATTTTGGTAAAAGCTCCTTATATGTGTACTTCCACTTCGTTATAATTAGCTTGGTTTGGTACTGTCAGCAGTTTTTGTATGTGGCTTTAATATTTTTTACTCGGCACCGTTTTTATTCTGATAATAACTTAGCCCCACTGAATCTCAAAAAAAGCAGACAGGGGGCTACTGCATCAATTATGCGCAAAGCCCCACGAATCATTTCTCGAAGGAAACGTTTACCTCAGCTGAAACGACAAGATTGTAAGTTTGTCGGTACTTTGAAAGCTTATTTGTCTCATATTACATATCTTTTCTTTGTTGGTTTTCTCCCAATAATTTTTCTTTATATTCCAGCCGAACTACAGCAGAAGGAAATTTTGTCGAGAGATATTGATGATGAAATTGGAGAAGATGTTATAGTGCAGGGTGGAGTTATGATGCGAATTGTTGATGAAAATGAGGAACGTAATGACATACATGAAATGGGGCCTATGAGTTCTTTTCAACAGTTTTCACGACACATAACTGTTGAAGCTCCATCTTTGCCATATAATAATGGTCCTTATAAGGAAAATCCTCTTCCAGGTTGGTACTTGATTTTGAATAAAAAGAATTTTTCTGCGTGTTTTTATTTAGCTTGCTCAGACTGTCATTCTGTGCGAAGAGCGATTTTAAAAGAGAGGGTTTTGTGAAAGGACGATTAGTAAGAAAGCATTTAGGGACGGCAGACGAAGTTGAGTCTTACCCGTGTAGTTTTTGCTCTGATAAACCCTACCTTACCGATCGTGGTTTACTCAAACATACCGAAAGCTGTCATCCTGAACATCTTAATCAAGTTTTGCAAGAAATCGCCAGAATACGAGAAGAATGGGAAAGGTTGGAAAAACATGAAGATAATTTCTTTTTGTCATTTTTTTTTCCGTGTTTTAGTTGTTTTGCACATATCAGTAGTTGACTGTATAATTCATTTTGGGAAAGTATTCTCATCAGTACTGCAGCAGTTGCTCTTTTCCAGGCGTTACATTGAAAGATCTCGTCAGAGAGAAAGAGTTGCTATTGCTAAAATGCGGCAAGACGCTATTTCCGACGCCATTGCTAACAGTACGTGTTTAACTAATATATTTTCTTCTTTATTTTGATAGAAAAGGAAGAAAAGTCATTGTTTTAAGAAGTTATTTGGAAATCATATATTATAGTTGTTAGTAAACTAATTTAGAAAAAAAACTACTATTCAAAATATATTATTGTTGAAGGCCAGAGATGTAGGGTTTAAATCTGATGTGAGGTTATCTTTTTTTTGCAAGAGAGATACTTAATTCTAATTTTCAAAACTTTTTGGTTTTTGCTGCTTAGCCGAAAATTTTTATCTAAATAGCGTAGGAGGTGGTAACAATATTCTTTTTTTGGGGGTTTTTTCCTTGAAGTAGGTGGTATGTGACTTAAAGTTGGATATATTGAGCTCTGTAACGTTTTTGACGGGGTAGTTGTATAGGCATACTGTTCTGGGTAATTGAGAAAGATACTGGGATTCCTTTGGACACCATTTTTCAGTTGCTGCCGGTACATCTGTTGAAGCTATATTCGATGAGTTTCCGGAACAGGATGAAGAAAATACTATAGAACATTCCTTCGAACCATGTCAGATTTGTGGCATTTTAGTCAATGCCTTACATCCGAGTGCTATGGCTAATCATATGCGAGCTCATACTAAAAACGGTGAACTCAGAAGTCAGTTAATCCAGACTTATGGGACTGAGGTGAGTTAGTAATGAATTTAGAGTGTGGCTTGTAAATGTCATTCAAGAATGTTTGTTGAGTGTTTCTTGATTAACTACTGTTTTTGAGGGTTTATTGCAAGTTTTTAGTTTGTTATGCGTCTCACGTGTCATGATTGTCAGTTAGTGTTCTCAGATAAAAGAAAGCTAAACGCGCATATCGAGAACTCTCATTCACGCAAAAGGAAGTATGCTTATACCTAATTACAATTTCTTTGTGAGATATTTAAACTGATGAGGTGTCAAATAGATATTCATTCAGGTATGTCTGTAAGTGGTGTGGAACTGTTTGCATGTCAATGGGGGATTTGAATACGCATAAAGCCGATGTTCATGGCATGCCGGTCTCTCGTTCAAAGCAAATGCAGAACGCTGCTGCCAACCGTTCACAAAACAGTGATCGTTGCAACTATGCATTAGGCTTAAAGAGTGGTGACCCTAGTAAAAAGATTCCCTACTCAGCTCAAAATGAAGCGTCAACCAGCTCCACAAAAGTTACTCCAATCTTAGAGGAGACTCCTTGCAAGTTAGTCTTAGTAAATGTATAACTTTTTGTTCTGGCTCTTATTTTTGATCTGACATTACGTTTTTTCCCAATTCCGCATTCAAATTTGATTACCAAGAAGCTGTATCATACTTGAACATCAGTTTACAGGACTACTTGTGATCTTTGTGGGCTTTTAATGGTGAAACCGTCTTTATTAGTCCGGCATATGTTGCGGGTCCATAGTCGACGATCTTTTACAGCAACAATTGAAATTAAAGGGATGCCCTGTATTAAAGTTGATGTTGACGGAGGAAAATTGACATGGTGGTGCTGTGATTTATCTTTCAACAATAGGTTAATTTTTCATCATCTTTATTTGTGTAATAACTAGTTTAGCTTGAAAATAATAACAAAAATAGTGCAAACGATTAGGAAGCTATATGTCAGTTCACATTTTCACTTTCTTTGTTGCGGCGGTGTTGCTACATGGAGAACTAGCACGATTTTCACCGGCTATAATTGAAGAAGTATTTAGATTTGACTTTTTATATCATCGCCGATCATGCCATCAGCCGAAATTCGAATTCTCATCGTATCCAGCTACTGTTGTAGACGCTCAAGGTCTTTTTTAAAATTCTTCTTTACCTATAGTTTGTAGTGCTATCTTATCATTTGATGCACAGTAGTACTCAACATGTGGAAATGTTTCAGTTGTGGGTAACTGTAGTGGGGTTGATGAAATCGAACAAGGAATAGTGGAGGATGATCAAATAGTTCGAATAAATGAAGGTCCAAATTCAAGTGAAGGATCAGAGAACCTTTATGTTTTGCTGGTTAGTAACCCTGGAGAGGATGAAAGTTAGTTATTTGCTTTTCAAATGAACTTTATTTGCTGCATTGGTAATGGGCTCTAAGTAGAGGATGAGAAAAGCATATGACCGAACAAGAACCTAGCGACGAAATACAATTAGGAAATCACAAAAATACGCCACAACCTCTCTCGACTAGCAATAAATGAACTTTATTTGGTTGGTCAAATAAATTGTTTATTTATTGCTAGTCGAGAGAGGTAGTGGCGTATCTTTGTGATTTCCTAATTGTATTTTGTCGCTAGGTTCTTGTTCGGTCATATGCTTTTCTTATCCTCTACTTAGAGCCCATTACCAGTGCAGCTTCATGAGTTACAGTTGCTTCCACTTCATTAATTTTTCCCCATGTTTGCATCATTTACAGGTAAAGATAACACGACTTGGGGCGTCATGCCTATAGGTGGGGAAGTCTCTTCAAATGTGCAACAGATTACTTTAACTGCTGAACAGTATGAACAATTAAGAATGCAGACGGATGGAAATCTGAGCAATATGGTAAAGTAGATTGTAGTTTCAGAGTAACGTATTTAATTTATTTTATTGATTGTGAAAGAATTAATTTATCTTTTAATATTAGCAAGTGATGCTCATGAGCGAAGTTACTACAAGTGATGAGCCTGAAGCTACTGATCGCCTGAGCTGCTGTACACCGCCTCCTTATATTTCTACAGAATCATTGGACTCTTCTGTGCCTGTGATAGACATTGAAGACAGAGGGCCACCAACTTTGCAGATGCAACCAGTACAAACCCATAGCATTCCCGGGATTTCAGTTGTTGGACATAGCGAAGCAACACAAGATACATGAATCTCTTCACTTGTGTAGTCAGTAATACGTGTATTTGATCTCATTGAGTTCTGCCATTAGATAATTGTTTGCCGTTTTCAATAATGCGTTGTAAGATCTCTCCTTTCCATTCTTTTCTCCAATATCATGATTGCCTGTACACAACTTTTAGCTGTAACTCCCCCTGTCCCCCCTTTTTGGCAAGTGTGATGTGTACATATTGGAAAGCATTGTAGTATGAATAAAGCCTGCCCGACCAGGTGTAAACTGGGCCGCGCCGCAGAATGCAGTCGTGCTAGTAGTCGAGAATGCAAGCTGCTTATCTGCGAAACCTTACTGGCGATGCATAACGACTTGGCGACCGGTGCATTGCGTTCTAAACGTCCGCTGTGTTTTCAATAGTGTTTTACTAAAGAAAAAGCAGGATACGATGGAAGCGTTTATGCAGAGAAAAACAACAAACATACAGAGATATCAACAAAACATTAATTTTAAGAAATCATCGTTATAGAGAATTGGTGTTAACAGCTTTATTATATACAGCAGTTAACAGTATTACAAACAGAAGTGTGAAGGCAAAGTTTCAACAAGGTTTAAAAAGTCAAAATCTAGAGACAGGGAGAAATGACACACTTTAAACGTCACTAAGTCAAAAGAGTTTGAATCTACAGTACACGCCACAGAACTCTTGTATGAAGAGGAAGCAAATACTAAAACAATACTGGAACTAATAACGGACCGGGAAGGAATGAAGGTATTACAAAACTTACAAAAAATCAAAATGTAGCCGCTTGTAAATAAAACTGAGATCGTTCAATGAGATAGCTAGAAAAGTTCACCAAATTTCAAATTACGTAAGTGCTTTCTTTGTGTATTTTTTTCATGTGGCTCCTCAAATTGGTTTTCTGTCGGAAGCATTTTCCGCACTCCGGACATTCGTGGTCGTACTTATTTGAATGGCATTTTTTGTGGACCACCATATCATTACGTCGGACAAAACGAAGCCCACAGATACTACACGGATAACTAAATGAAATCGCGTAGACAATAAAATTACATTAAACCTGCTAACCGAAATTTGGTGTTTAAGGAACTTACGGTCGCACGTGAGTATGTACAGATCTAATATGCGCTGTTACTGCCTGAAAATATGCTACTCGCATATAATAAGGTAAGGTACTAGTGTACTTTCCTAGGTGTTCATTGCGAACAAGTGAGTAGTGAACTTGTTCAATTCCATATGCCGTGGGTTGGACAAACAGAATTTGGGATGATGTCCCAAGAAACTAACCTTTGAACACTTAAATCCAGGATGAGTGCAATCTTTGTAAGGGCAACGATATTCGAAGTTCAAATGTTTTATCATGTAGTGTCGGCGAAGTACACATTTATGGCCAAAAGCTGCCGAGCACTGGTCGCAAACGAAAGGACGCAAGTTCCTATAAACAAATGTGTTAAATGCAGTATATAATTTACTTTACCATGAACCTTGACTGCTGTGCTTACCCCAATGGGTCATAGACAAAGCTCACAAAATTGATGTTATTTCACAAAACTGCCGAGAATTACCTTATTGCTCCAGAAAAATAACACTTCCGTGAGGCAAACCTCAAATAAGGGCAAGAAATAGCTGCGCCATTTTTGTTCCACCAATCAGAAATAATCAGCTACCCAATTTTACCAAACAATTTTAAACTATCAAAAAAGAAATAGAGTAAAACCTATGACAGGAATTCATTTATGGCAAACAACGTTTTCACTTATGTTTACACCCTCGCGCTCATTTATACGACGGCTTGAGATCTGAATGAGAGAGACGGTTGCAAATCTGCTATGTTATAATCAATTCTTAAAAACTCCTCCTCTTCAGACACCCTAACAGTAAATCCCGTTCATATTTTGGACAAATACTACAACTATATATAAATGAGTAGTTTATGAGATCAAATGGTACGACCAGCTATAAAATGAAATTAAACTAACAAATGAATGCTATTTATGTGCTCTTGAAGGCACGATTGTGACTTATACTGTTTGTCGCAATGCGTGCACTGCTTCATCGACTTGCTGTGAAAACGATTGTGATGATGTTTTACGGCTTCCGGAGAAAGGAACAGCTGGAAAAAATCAGTTGTTTGTTCAAAATCGAAATTTATTAAAAGTTTTAAAAAACCTGACCTTAAAACGACCATTCAAAATCAACATAATAAACGGTTTTTGAAGTTAAAACAAAGAGGTGAATACATCTAAACTACACCTTACTGTCTGTTAAAGAGGGAAGTGCCAATTTCTAGCAAATTTATGGGGCCTTACTTTGTCACATTTCTTACACTTATAGCGAACTCGGCGATCTGACATTTTTTTCTGTTTGCCTTTTACGTGGTAGGTAATTATATGAGCTTGAGCATTATGTAGCAAAGTAAATGATGCATCACAATAATCACAGATGTAAGTTTCGCTACCGCTGCCACCTTTTCCGTCACCACTACGTTTTCGCTTATTCTTCACTACTTGGACTTCCTGCAGTCAGATCTGTTTTCAGATTTTAAAATTCATATAACAAACTAATCAAGAAAAAATTAATGAAGTACAACAACCCTACTAAACGCAGTAGTTTTTGAATAAGTACTGTAGACGAGAATGAATAATAATAATAGTGAAAGTAATAATAATGATATAATGAAAATGAATCAAACCTCAAAGACAGCTGTGTCACAAAAGCTGTTTTTAGTGACATCGTTCAGCAAAACAATATTTTCTTTGTCATCAACAGGTGTACTAAGTCCATTCGCTAGGTTAGTCTTAAAAATAGTGCTGTTGTTTGCCTTCTCAAGAGGTATTTGATAAAAAAAAAATCAAAGTTTTATACATTGACAAAACAAAGAGTTCATCAACGTAATAACTCTCATTCCTAATTTTTTTGATGTTAACGTTTCTATTTGGCATAGGTAGTAATGGCAAATAATTAACACTATCTACGTAAGAGAATCAGAAAATCAAACTTCAAATTTGCTCTATATTCTACTGATCCACAAAAAAAGTCATTACTTCAAATGTAAATGGGTCAAGGCTATCGGTTTCACACGGATCAGTCAGAGGTGCCAGATGATAAGAATAATCCAATTCATCGTTACCACTAAAAAAGTAAGCTGGATCCATTGTTCCTAAAGTAGAATATAGTTAATTCATATGCTTATCTGAAAGGAAAAAAGAACAGATGCAGTAAAAAGAGTTGAGTCAAAAGGTCTGGAGTAGAGAACTAAGATGTGATCAAATAAATGATAGATAAGCGTTGGATAATAATCGATCACAATGCTAAATTTCCTGTAACAATCTTTTTTTTTGGTTAAAAAAATTTTGCTGAAAGCAGCTTACATTTGAAGCTAGCTTTAAGTCAAAAATACTATTATAGTGAAAATAGTGGAGACAAAATCTTAAATGTATATTAATGACAACTCACAGCAAACAGTTATATCTGACAACAACAGAATGAGAAAAAAAAATTAAACCTTCAAACCTTTAAAATGAATTGACGAGAATCTAAACAAAACATCTGTAGGAGCACTCAAAGTCAGCCGTCGACTTAAATTGCCTAGTGAATTAAGACATAGAAAAATAATCAAAAAGTAGCCAAATTAACATAACTGATGCAGGAATTTCCTGTAATGCAAAGAGACAGCGTATTAAAAAGAGCGAGCAAAAAAGAGTTGTGATCTAGGCAAGTTGTTGAAATCTAGTTTATTAGCCGTAAATGTGATGTAAAATAAAGAACAACAGAACCACTGAGGCAAAACGGAAAGAAAAAATTGGAAAAATAGGATGCTTAATTGTATGTCTGAAGAATGCTGTAGAAAATCTCCGTCTAAAATTTAATCCTAATTTCCTCTACTCCAATTTGGAATGCCCGTAAAGTTGTCAGTTTTGTAGAGTAATAGATTTGGTATGAAAAATTGTTGTAGTTTACAATCAACAAATTACAACAAAGTTTCTTCTTTTCCTTGATATTCAGACGTATTAAAAGGAGAAAAAAAAATAGAAAACAAATGTTTGTTGCGAAAACAGCAGCAAAAATAAAAAGACATCTGTAAAACAGTAAAAATTAAATTTGAAGTAACATTAAGATGAAAAAAAAAAATCTATCCAAAAGGACCACTAAACTGATTAGAATAAAAAAATTCTTTTTGACGATTTAAATACAACAGTGCGAAAATCCGACAACCGTCGCTGCACAGAGCAAACGTGACGCCAATTGATGAAGCGATGCTTCCCCATTTCGTCCGTAAATTTAATAACTGGCTAAGCGGTCGTATTTCCGCTCGTTGATTGGCTGATGGATAAACAGCGCTTCTTTGTTTGTCCCACTTTTTCTTCCCTGAAAAAAGGAAGTTGTGCTTACTGGAAAACAGCAAACAGTTGACGGTAATGGCAATCAATGGTTGACAAGCGGGAATTTTGGTTTCACTTCTTTACTTAGTGCTGCTGATGATTCTGATGCTTGAAAATTTTTTTT